TCTTCGCATATCTGGCTGGAATTTACAGGGTTAAAGTAGTGCCAGGATCTTACTTTTTTGACATGCATTAACATGCTGAGATGGAGGAAGTGGAAAGAGTTGTGGAAACTAGATCCATCCATGTTCATTAACTGTGGATCTTTGCAGTGCTGTCTCTTTTTATTGTGGGTTTTGCAGAATAGCTGTTCTAAGCTTTGTACTGTGGTCTCCGAGCACATTTGGTCGACTCGTCTCTAAAAGTCTGGGCACTGCTTTGCCCTGACTTTTTCGTCCTCGTGTGGAATTCACAGGGATGTGAATAACCTGGAGCTTGACTGTGTGGAAACAGACCTTCTCTATCAGCTAAGAATTCCTCCTAATTTCCCCTCTGCCCTCTCTCTGTCTTTCTCTCTCTCTGCCCCCGTCCTCTCTGTCCAGATGGCCCACATTAATAAGGCAGACAGTCATACCTCAGTGAGCAACCTTTTCATTTCCCCTTAGACTGAACAGACACGCAGGAGAAGTCACCCTGACGACTGACCCTGTCCTGTTGGTCCGTTGGCTGGACGACACGTTCAGAGGAAGGGTGGCAGAGGGAGAGTCGGTCTAAAAACCTGGCACAGCCGGCAGTCTGGTGACTGTGCACGCTGGGGAGCTGTTGTCCCCAGGTTAGGCAGAGGTCCCACATATGTGTTTCTTGCTAGGATTTACAATGAAATCTAACGTTACTTATAAAAGTAAGAACGAGATTAGATGCAAAAGAGAAATCAGATGTTTGATTTAAAAAATATATTCCAAGTATCCAAGTTGTTTGTGGTCTAATAGGTATAATCGCAGGGAAAATAATTTTTTTTCTTGTTCTTTAAAAGTATATATTTAATGATGATGTAGAAAAAGCATGAGAAACAAAGAGTCAAATCAAACAAATGCTGCTTCTTTCATAATCGACATTAAAAAAAAAAGCTTTATTTAATACATGGAGAATAATAGGGAGGCAGAGGAGCAGGCTCAGCATCTTTCAGCTGTGTTTCCCATACTCATCAGAAAGATGACTATAAATGTGTCAGAATAGAAAACATTACTGGGACACATTCACTCTCACAGCAGCCCGGTTTGAAGGCTTGGACAGGTAATGTCCATGTGGATACCTTTTATAGAGAGTAATGGTTGTTTGTGCTGGACTCTGGGTCCCATTGATTGTGGTTGATTCACCAATTACACCTAAATCTAAGAAGCACAAAACCCACAAATACACCCACACATCGTTCTCAGGGCCACCTGACACACACGTGTATGCAAATAGGCAAGCACACATGTAATCGTATATGTAAATATTTCAGCATTCGCCGACAATAACAGCCAAGCACATTGAGACAACATTACATTCTTTGCTTTGTGGTTTGTATATAACACATAAGATTGTACTGTGTGTAGTGACAGTAACAGAAGTGGTTAGGCCTTGTTTGTACTTTAGGATTTGAGCCATGTATAGCTGAGAAAACACATCCCCACCTCCCACATTTTGTTATGTTGGTGCTGTATAACGGGCTGTCTGTAGCACTGTATATAATGGATTTTACTCTTAAGTTTGCTTTTTGGAGAAGTTCATCTGTGAACAACTTGAGCTTTGCTGTCAGGAGAAACAAAGGAGGAGTATTGTCATCAAAGAACCTCTTTGGCACCAAATGCAGGAGCTTTACGCGTTTCAGATGCTGCAATATGTTCAGCAGTTTGAAAGGTTCTGAGTGCTTTCGTTGCCAGGTAACGTCAGGTTTTTTGGGCTTTCTATTTGGAGATCGTTTGAGCCCGGTTTACCTTAGGCACCTCTTCATCCACCTGCCAGGTCAAAGGTCGGAAAGTGAATGATGGAGATATGCTTTTGGGAAACTGGTCAGCTCTGCGGGATGGGATTTTTCCACACACCAAAGACTCTGAAGCCTTTGTTAAGCAAATCTGATCATCCCGGCAGTCTCAGAAGTGAGAAACCAGGCGGTATGTGATCTGATATTCAGTGTCTAGACAGTTATGAAATGTCAGGTAAAAAAATGTTTAAAAAAGAATTATCTCTCCTGTGTGTAAATCCAGCCTTTGGATAAAAACTGTGTCTTGCTCATTATTGCATTAGCACAGAAAGTTGGAGTTTGAGTCTGGGAGTTGTGCTTGAATGTGTTTTGGAAGCAAAATGGGAGATGAGCTGCAGAAAGAGCCAGAAAGTCCATCTGCGAGGCGCTCTCAACTCCGCAGAGCAGCAAAAATAGATCCGGCATCACGTTTCGACGGCCGAGGCAAAGTTAACCAGACTAACTGCCGAACAGATCATTTTCTCTGGGTGTGTGTGCATGTGCGTCACGGGGGAAATGTGTGCGTTTGTGTGTTCGTCTGGCAAGCACATAGACGCGAGGGGATGGGAAAGCTTTTTTACACCCATATGCGCACACACACACACACACACACACACACATGCTCATCCACACAATATTGCAGTCACATTGAGCATGTTGTTGCATCCTGGTCATGGTCCACTGATTGTTTAAGTCCAATATCCTCCTGATAAATGATCAAAGCATTTTGGTTGGGAATGTACACTGTTGTTATAGTGATTGTAGAGTAGAATGTATTTACTCATAAGGAAGAGTAAACTTGCTTTTTTGTAGAGAAGCATATATATATACAGAATATATATGGATACATACATATATATACATCTATATATCTTTTGAACTACTTGTGTGTGAGAGTTGTTTTGGGCGCATCCACCCTGATATGATTCATAATTCTTTCCCCTTATTCGATTTTTATTTATAATGTTTTGACAAAAGTAGCGTCTTATGAGTGATGAGTGTTTACTTTTTCCTGTAAATATAATTTTTTTTAATTTTATTTTTTGACAAAGGGGGGATTAAAAGAAACTGTTTTACGATGCTGCCTATGAAACTATGAAGTGATATCTGTCCACAGAATCTGTTCGATCTATGAAATTATCAAAGTAAATGTTGTGAAATGTAACAGCGACAGGGTGGGAGTCTCACGGGTGACCAGAAGCCAGTGACAATGAATGAAGGGGTCCTCGCTGTATTGATCGTTTT